AATTATAATAATTTTGGCTAGAATTGTTGTACAGAGCCCATTTTTTCACATTAATTGTCATTGAAGTGAGTATTAAGAATAGTGTATTCTATCATATGATATAAGAATTCAATATATTAAGAGTAAATGACCATACTCCACAATCAAAATATTAATATCGTAATACCCATGTGTAACTCATAATACCTACAAATTTCACTGTAATTCTAGTACACTACCTACATGGCTTCTCTCCACACTATTCTTTAATTACTCTGAGTAACTAAAGTTTGATGAAGTTTTTTACTAAGTTTGATGCTTAATGAACAATGGATAGAGGTGTTGTTTTGGTCTCTGCAAATGTTCTTATTTTACTGTTATCTGCGGCCGTGATTCTTGAAAAGTATATTTCTAGGTTGAATCTAAAGTCTAATTTGAATGAGGAAAACCAATATTTCATCGAAGTTCCCGATAATTGCAGCAAAAATTCACGGATTGTATCTACGACATTAAAATTCAAATAGCTGAACGAAAGATCGCATACTTTATCCTCACAATTCTACTGCAACGTTTAATATTACCTCTTCGGCAATAATCGTCTCTGGTGATGTACATCCAAATCCAGGACCCGTTTTGGATTCCACAGACTTGAAGTTTTGGCCGGAATGCGCTGCAGTGAAGTGTTCAAATGTCTCAAGGGAGTACAGCGAAATCATAAATGTCTTCAATGGAATTACGAACCAAGTAGATATGAGTCTCAACATATTCCAACCATTCTTTCTACGCATCGTAGATCTTCAATGGAAACCTATTCTAGAAATGTCAACAATCTGATACCTGTTGCGCTTCTTGGTGCTACATCAAAAACTCAGCTTTCCATTAATTTCGCTATCTTGAATGCAAGATCTATTGTTAGAAAATCCACTCTAACCATCTAAGCATTTTGGTCTTAATCGAAACTTTGCTAAATGGAACAGACCCAGCGGTAAATCCAGGAATTTTGGAACTCAGGGGGAGAGGGAGGGTGACTATTACAAAGGTTTCATGAGGAAAGAAAGGAAAAGGGGGGTGATAGTTACTAACAATACACTGAGGAATTTAAGCGAATGGGGGTGACTACGCATCTATATTACAACCCCTGGATTCGCCCCTCAGACCAAGATGATCATTGCATACCTGATATCCATATATGACATCCTTCCCAATTATACTTTTCACCAAGTCCCAACAAAGAACCTTCTACATAAATCACCAGAAGAACGTGTTCCAACATGTCAATCATCTACTCTGCTTGCAAATAATGTTGTTCACTTTCTTTAAAAACCAAATAATCAAAACTAGAAATGAATTGACTTCTATTGAACAAAATCCATCTTTGACTAATGATCAGCGTCCTACTACATGCCAACTAAAATGTCAGCTTCATTGGCTTCCTGTGACTCACCGTATTATGTACAACATCCTCTTAATAACAATAACTCCCAATATAACCTGGCTCCATGCTACATCTCTCATTGCATTTTCCCAATACAAACCCCCAAGAAATCTAACATCTTCATTTTCCATTCAATCAAATCGTCAAACATTTCGTCTAAAACCTTATGGTTATCGTTCGTTTTCCGTATGTGGTCCTGAACTGTGGAACTCTGTTCCTC